GAGATGGGCTGGCTGCAAGTCGAAAGAGTTAGGCCGCGGCTTCAAAGCCGTTCTTTGTGGCGGGCCGAAAACTACAAGTGGTGTGGCCGTGATCGTGTCTCAGCGATTTCGCGATACGATTGTGAGCGTAGATCGTTTCGACGACCGTTTAATGAAGATTGTTGTCGCTATTGAACAACGACTTTACCACTTCTTCTCTGCATATGCCCCACAAACTGGATGCTCTGAGCAGTCCAAGGACGAGTTCTGGGCTCTGCTGGACGAGAAGACGGCTGAAGTGCCACCAAAAGACGGTATTGTAGCCGGCGATCTAAACGGACACGTGGGCGCTGCAAAAGACGGCTATGCTTGTCATGGCGGATTCGGTTACGGTTCACGGAACGCCGATGGTGAGCGAGTCCTTGAGTATGCAGAGTCGCATAACCTCGTCATTCTGAACACACGGTTTCGTAAACGTGATTCTCATCTTATCACGTTCTACAGCGGGAGTACCAAGACCCAGATAGACTTCGTACTCATCAGGCATGGCGACCAAGGACTCGTGACAGACGCAAAGGTATGAAACGGTTGCCACGCAGCACCGCCCACTTATCTGTACGCTCAGACTTGTAGCTCCCAGATCGAGGCAGGCAGAACGATGCGGTCCTGAAAGAATAAAGTGGTGGCGACTCAAGGAGCGGGAGGCAGCTGTGATTTCTCGTATTCGACTACCTGAAGTCACAACTGTTCAGGAGACCTGGAACGAAGCCGTTAATTCTATAATCCAGGCCGCCCGCTCCGAACTCGGCACAACGAAGCCTGGAAGGCGGAGGATGACAAAGAGGCATGGCTCTGGACGGACGACGTCAAAAGCGAAGGTTCGAGAAAAGAAGAGGCTCTATCACGCGTTTCTCGAGCACAAGTCGGCTGACAACTGGCGGCAGTATCGGGAAGCGAGGAATGTGGCAAAGACGGCCGTGGCTGCTGTGAAGGCCGCTCACTTCGATGATATCAGCAAGAAGCTGGAGACGCGCGACGGTGAGCGGTACCTGTACGGACTTGCCAAATCTCGTCATCGCCAAACCGAAGACATTGAGAAGTTTTTTGGCATAAGTGATGAGAATGGCCACCTTCTGATGGACCCGAAAAAGGGTATTGCAACGATGGCGTGAATATTTCGAGGGCATCTCAACGGTGGAATTCGCCCATCCCGCTATACCCTGTACCGCACCAACATATGGTCCCGTTCAGAAGATCACCGTACAGGAAACAGAAGCTGCTCTGAGGAAGATGAAGCCGGCAAAGTTACAGGCCCCGACGACATAGCAGCTGATTTGTGGAAGTCACAACGCTGGTTTTCTGCGGGTTGGTTGACGAAACTCTTCAACCAGATCGTCGAAGAGAAGAAGGTGCCAAGGACTGGCAGCAGAGCGTGACGATCCCGATTTGGAAGAAGAAGGGCAGCCCGGCAGATTGCTCGAACTACCGTCCAATTCGCCTTCTCTCGCACACTATGAAAATCTTTGAGCGAATTGTTGACGCCCGCGTTCGTGATATCGTCCAGCTTTCCACCAATCAGTGTGGCTTCGTTGTAGCACCGTCGACGCCATACATGCCGCTCGCCTATTGCTGGAGAAACACCGTGAGAAGCGAAAGCCCGTGCATGTAGCCTTCCTAGACCTGGAGAAGGCATTCGATCGTGTGCCGCGTGATGTTATATGGTACGCTTTGAGGCGGCACGGCGTGCCCGAAGAGCTCATTGAGTGGGTGCGCATCCTTTACTCATGCCCAGGGAGCCAAGTTCGCTCACCAGCGGGTGTCTCAATGGAGTTCCCCATCACCGTCGGGGTACATCAAGGCTCTGCGCTCTCCCCACTTCTTTTCGTTGCCGTCATGGATGCCATCTCACGAGATCTTCAGAAGGAAGTGCCTTGGACCCTGCTTTACGCTGATGATGTGATGCTTGCTTGTGAAGATAAGAGCGCACTGGAACAGCAGGTGCAAGCTTGGGCCGAGCGTCTGGCGCTAAGTTTGGACTCAGGTTGAACGTCAACAAAACCGAGTACCTGACAACTGACCCAAATGAGACGGGCTCCATTAAGATCGATGGCACGGTGCTCAAGCGCACGGAAACATTCAAGTATCTCGGATCAGCACTTGCGTCCGACGGCAGTCTGAACTCGGAAGTGAGCGCACGAGTGGTCTAAGTGGCGATCCATGTCCGGGATCCTTCGCGACAAGAAAATGCCAGAGCGGTTCAAATCAAAGATCTATCGTACTGTCGTCCGACCTGTCGCGTTATATGGTGCCGAGTGCTGGCCCGCGACCAAAGAAGTTGAGGCTCGCCTTGGTGTGATGGAGATGAAGATGTTGCGCTGGACGGCGGGCGTCACGCGATCGGACCGCATCTGTAACGATGTCGTGCGCAAGAAGTATGGTGTAGCCCCCATAGCAGAGAAAATGCGTGAAACGCGCCTTCGATGGTACGGGCACGTACTTCGCGCGAAGGCTGACACCGTCCGGAAAACTGCTCTCGAACTCGAGGTACCAGGAAAGCGGCCAAAGGGCGTCCCAAACAGCGCTGGCTCGACACGTTGCATACCGACTTGAAAATAGCCGGCATTCACCCCGATCAGGCATCCAATCGGGAAAAGTGGCGTAGTTGTATCAAAAGAGCGGACCCCGCGATCAAGCGGGACAAACGCTGAAGAAGAAGAAGAAGAAGTTACAGTAGCCCCGGTTCGCGTAAAACGAGGGGAGTTGTGCGTGACCACATCATAGAAGACGTCCAGTAACCAAATCTGAATGAGTCCCGACGGAATCGCTAGATGAGAGCCTTCTTGGCTGACGTGCGAGGGATGCACCTAGTTTAAACTTTCATTGCAGATAGCGTAGGGAAACGCTTGCTCGAAACATCCATTGCGATCTGAGTTCCCATTTGCGATACTTCACGTATCCAGATTTACGCGCAGCGGAACGCACTGAAACATCAGTTCCCACACGTACAAGTACGCCTTCGCGTGCTGATGTGGCCTGCATCGCTCAGATGCACGCACTTTTGATCACACGATGGCACACACGAAAACTTCAGCGCCTAAGGAACATCAGTTCTCACAGGTACGCGTACGCTTTCCTTCGGAACTTAACCGCTTCCTTTTCCAACGCGTGTTGATGTGGCTTCCATCGTTCAGGTGCACGTACTATTGACCACGTGGTGGCAGACGCGTAAACTTCAGCACCTAAGGATGCAGGTCCGACTCGCATGCTGAAGAAGCAATCAGGAAGGCAGTAGCGTACAAGCAAATTGGTTCTTCTTGGCTTTTTCGATTTTCAATTCTGGTTCTTCACACTGTCAATGACCTGTCAACTTTACTTGTTTTCCTGCTGTTAGCTGCAGTTCCGGCAGTGGTCCAATAAAGTCTTATTATCACATACTTTTATCATCACATATAGTTTGTAACTTGCAAATTGTCCCCGACAATTTGCAATGTTACAAACTGCCCTGTTCTACCAATGGTGAAGCAATGATCGATGTAGGAAGGAATCAGCCACTGGTGGGAAGGCCGCAGGTGGGAACCGCTGATTGCGACCCGACAGTCCGCAACGATGAGGACTATATATCAGAATGGACACCCCAGTACTTAGCGCCATCCATAACGGTGGGTTTCACTGCGCGTGAAGCTGGACCAGTGTCATTTCCTGGCGAACGGGAACTCATATTGCAGAAAACGTTTCATGTGAGCGTTTCCACACACTATGTGAAAAAAGGTGCTTTCGCACAGGGAACGAATGCCGGGCACCCTGTTCAACGATGCAATAATCGGATCGTAGAAATATTCATCATCTCTTGACAGCTGTCAATATAGTCTAGTTCGCTGCAGACGAAGGGGCGTGTCGGGCAGCATGAATCTGGCGCGATGCCAAACTCCACCAGTCCGTTCTCCGTCAGTTGTTGGAGCGAGCAGGTGATGAAAGGGTATAATATCATTCACATCACTCGTTTTCACCCAACTGTTGTCGCATACCCGCTTCGACAAATGGCAGAGAACGGGCATGCTGCCGGAGCACATTCATAGTGGACACGCCTCTTCATCCGCTTCGAATCAGAGTACTCCCATTGACAGCTGACCACCAACGCTTTTGAATAACATGAAAGAAACGAGTTGAAACAAAAGTGAAAAAAATGAGGAAATAGAGAGCAGTGGCTGATAAGAACTCCAAAAACTCTTCAGCGTTGGCGTGGGATACGATGGTTCGGTGGCGGAGCAAGTAGTGTAACTGCGTCTAGCAGGAGGGCTGGGGTCTGCTTTAACTGCACGAGGAGGTTATTCTGCTCATCAGGTGCTAACGAAATGTAAATATGGCAACCAGTAAACTTTATAATAGATTTATTCAAAAATAAAAAGAGTATTCAATAAATTAAACAAAGAATCAACAAAATGATGCTGTAGCACCGCAGGTTCAATGAAGTCATCCTAGAAAACTCGGGAAAAGGTGAAAGAACACATCGTTCCTGTTTCGTGGCTAAGGGCACATCCCATAGCCAAAACCACGTACGAGTGGCACCACTTCTACTTCTACAGTATAAAAAGAAGATGAAAATTTTCGGAGCAAATATCTCCCAAATATCTCGTTGCTATATAACTGAAAACATGGAATTTCACAAAAAACGAAATGAATATGTACATGAAATATAATTATCACATCTAAAACACTGGTATCGCAGGGAACAAAAATACGAGAGCCAGAAAAGATAGCCGAGCCTCTGCGAGACGCTTCAAGGAAGCACTTGGGTTCAAGTGGAAAAAATCGCAAATTACGGTACTTTTGCATAAATCCACTACGCGAAAAAAGGAAGGAAACAAGTCCTTCTGGTTTAACAATCAAGGCCATCGCATTTGCGCCATTTGGGGTGCGGAAGGTGCTCCTATAGCAGCTAGAATGCCAACAGAAGGCTCGCTTATATATGATATACACCTCTAATTAAAGCATTTCGAAACAAAAAATAAAAAGAGATGTGCCTAATGTTGTTGAGCAATATCAGAGAAGTAGCTCAGAACGTCTTGAACGGTTACTTCTAACTCGAGTTTTGATCCAGGATAGCAGGTGCTCATCAAACGCTGATATCCTTGGAGTTGTTTGAGAAATTGATCCTGCAACCAGAAATCTTCCGTCAAGTTAAACAGGATCGGTTCATGTGACATTTAAATTTCGCGATGATTTGCATAAACACGCCACCCTAGCCCTCGAGACGCTGCTGGTCGCTTTCAGGTAATCACGGAGTTTGTGAAAGTACGTAATGAGGGAAAAGATACAACCAGCGCGCACCTGCATTTCTCTCCAGACAACTTGCAACAGTGAAGAATGATCGACCAAATGCTTCTCAACTTTCTTGTACAATTGCTCCAATCCCTTCTTCACTTCCTTACCCGGATACATGGCAATCACCTGAATTACTAGGGATAATCGATAATGCAAGATAGCAATACTCGGCTTGAGCTTGAATCTTCAAGCAGCATTTGGTTTAGAGAGAAGAATTCCAGACCAATATGAACAAACAAACTAGTGCAGTTACTACCTTCTTCAGTTCAACGCGACTGAACTGAGGTTGATACGATATTTCTTCTGGCTTCGTTCCTCGCATTTCGATTGCATTTTGGACAGCGTCAAAAAATACCTGCAACAATGAAGCATGAATTCAATATGAATGAAAGCTCCTGTTTAGTTATATTAGGTTGGTCCATAATTTCTGGAATACCTTAGCCGTTTTTCAAATTAGTTTTTCCAAGTTTTTTTTCATTTATTCATATAGGTAGCGTTCAGACTCCGCGATGAGGCGCGTTGAAGCGCGCGCTACTTTGCCGTATGGTCTGCAGTAGTGCTACTGACGGAGACGTAGCCGTATAGGGGCGTCGGTAGGCACCTGTTTTGGGAGGCGCCTAGTACGTGCTGTACGGGCACAGGCGTCAAGCCTGGACAGCCGACACCTGTTAAGCGGGCAACGGCCGTTTTCTGTCCTAGCCAATACGAAATGTGTTCAGGATGCCCCTGGGAATGAAGCCTGGGCAAATCGACCTTCATGAAGGGAACTTGATCAAAGTGTGGGCTGGGTTTGGAAGAAAGGATCAGTAGTGGGAATATTGCAGTTTTGCACTGTTTGTACTTTCAAGAAGAAGTAGCCCCTTCCTAGTTCGCGGTTCCGCCCAACTTGCTCCCGAAACCAAGAATGGAGAGCAATTACTTCCCTTCGCCGTGGAGCCTGGCAACCACTGCGGCCGCCAACGGGCTCTGTTTAGAGCGAAGACATAGAAAGCTGGAAGTGCAAAAATTTCAACAGTATCTGTGAAGGGGTCCTCAGTGAGCGGTAGATCTAGAAAAAACTTCATTTCACACTCTTCCTGTTGCCCTGGTAATCATGATTGTGTTGGTCAGCCTCCACTGTGATTTCAAGATTATGTACTTACCTTGGAAGTCAACGAAGATCTCCCACAGTCAATATTGTATTCGGATCTTTACAAAGCCCCAAGAAACCCAAGTTTCACTAGGACTCTGGAAAGAAGTAGTGGGAAGCGCATTCTAGATGAGCAGGGATTGTTAAGAACAACCACCATAAGTGCGATATCAGTTCAGAAGTTTGAAATATGTTAGAGTACAACGTTGTTTCGATTCTAGTTATTTGTTATTGAATTCTATCAGTTACAAATATTGAACACTTACATGGATCTTTTCGAGCGGTCTACCCATATATTCCCTGACGTACAAATCGATATTTTCCTCTTTTTCTCGCTTCGCATCTTTTCGTTGGGCATCCAGGAAGGGGATTTTCAACTCCGACAACGTCACTGAACAGTAGGTTATTTCAACCTCAGTCATAATGTGAACTGGAACGCCATGCAAGTACTTACAATACAACTGATGATAGTTCTCGAAGCGAACCACAGCCGTCGGAGACTTGCTGTTGGGATTTGAGGCGGCTTTTTCTATCCCTTCGCATACACAGCGATACAAATGCGTGTACCTAAGGAAATCGTTGGGTATTGAAAAAAGTCAGCAAAATTCCGACAATAACAAGAAATTGTATAGTCTTTTTTGCTGCGGATGGTGGGGCGTGTCAGCGCGGCTGCATTTGGCGCTGCGCCAATGCTTTTTCTTTTCCTCTCTCGGCAACCAACACTGTTCGTATCACTGCTTTCCACCAGTTATTGTCAATTATCCGCTTTAACAACCGTTGCCTCATTGAAACGCCCCGTCATCCGCAGCGAACAAAACTGCACATGCATCGAAACAATCGAAGTGTGGCAATAATCTATTGAAAAAAGTATCGCACAGCAGACCTTCTTAACCTACCATTTTTCAAGATCCGTTCGTCTTTCGGCACCTTCGAAAACTGTTTCCGCATTCCTTACAAATTCAGCGAACCTCTCGATTGTTGGCAGAATGCCCAGACGCATTCTTTTCGAGATTTTTATATCAGACAAGGCCATGCCTTCCGTTTCCTGAAGAGACCACAAAACATTGATCAGCCAACGAGGCCTGAAGTCTCAACACATTCAACGACCTATCGATTCCTGCTAAGCTCCACTCTCATGTGCACTGGCAACTGATAATATTCACTACATTTATTAATAACGCTGCATAAGGTAAACATCACTACTGAAACCTTGAAAAATTTCACGTCTAGGACTAGTCATATAGTCTTGTCACTGCGGATGGTGGGGCGTGTCAGAGAGTCAGCACTGGCGCTGCGCCGGACCCTTTTCCACCAAGTGCTGTCGCTGCCCTCTTAGACAATTGATGGAACGGGTCGATGCTTCGCCTAACCTCGTTGACACGCACAGGCATCCACAGCGAACACGAACGTAACTCTTTTTCGAATCGGCCTGGTAAGTAATATTGAGTTTCCCTGATGATAGAAGTAGGGAAAACGAGAAGCTTAAGGGAATGATTATAAAAGAAAATTATGGAGGATTTCGTACGAGAATAAATAGCCTCCAAACTTACCATGTACAGATCGAACTGCCTCTTAATTAGCACAACAAATGTACCAAAAGTGACTGAATAGTATGAACCAGACTCCTGTGGCAACAACACCTTTTTCGACATGATGATGAACAGCAGCATCACATTACTATAACAAGACATGGTTAAAACAACTATCATGACAGTGCTGCGCTATCAGTTGGACTGTAACTTTGCTAAACCAGAAACCAAGTTGACTGAAGTTGAGCGGCTTCATATCGTGGCTCCCAAGGAATCAAAATTATGCATGTATTCTTGAGACAGCGGTCTCCACATTTAAAGTATACGAAAGCAATATACAAATCTCATTGCGGGCGTTCTTTCACATTCCCACATTCTAACCTCCTGCAGGTGTTTTACTTTGATGAGCCGCTCTGTTAAATTATGGTTGGAATAAGGTTTTGCAAAACTCTTTCGTCCATACGTTTCATTCGCACGAGCGAAAGAGTTTGTTTCAATCGCTCATTATAACGTTGTAAATGTCGCCTATAGTCACGCCGTGCGTTCATTTTCGAGGATCCTTATTCTTGCAATGAGCGAGGTAAATGGTTCCCCAGCTGTGGGTGTTAGTCACCTTCATCACTCGAAAAACCGCAGAAATGAAGGCGGAGGGTAGTGATAGCCAGATGCCCTCTTGGACTCCAACAACATGTAAACAGAAAACGCGACGTGCCTCAAGACCAGGCATACGTGTAACTATAGCCAAACGTGTTGCTTGCCTCGCTCCCTTAGGCAGCGTTCAGACTTCGCGACGGCAGCGCTTCGGTCGCGCGTTCGACGCGATCAATGCAGTCGAAAGCATGCGCATCGATCGCGTCGAACGCGCGACCGAAGCGCTGCCGTCGCGAAGTCTGAACGCTGCCCTACGTCTGGTTGTTCTCTACACCTACCCACGATAGGCAGCTTGCCGTTCACGTTTTCGCAGCGGGACGTCGGAACCGACGCATATGGCGCAGGTCGTTGATAGCGGAAGCATTCCGAAACGGCATCCTACTATCACCACAGAAAAGTTAACATAATCGTTAGAAAAGCACAAGAATTTTGGCAAATAACTTACCTGGGATTCTGCTTGCAAATAGCCTTACAAAATCGATCAAGGTGGCCGTTCAGAGACTCGAACAAGGGTGCCATCACCGCACGAACCTGTTCATTCATGAAGCGTTCCATGTTTCTACCACCTAAAAGTGATCTTTATACTTTCGAAGCAGAAGAACTCACTGCTTCCCAAAGTAAAACAGTTCTCCAAAACATGTCACTTCGGCAGCAGTAACGCCTCAGATTTGATGGTACAATGAATTTGAAACGTTTCCTTGGTTTTCGCTCTACGCTTACAAAGGCAAATAAAATAAGCAAACAGATTGGAATAAATCGCAAAAACGGCAAAACAGGGGAGTCTTTATGGTGCAAACTACATGAAGCTTCAACGCCCACAATGAACCCATGCAAAATAAGCGAAAAATAATTTCAGACGAAGACAACACACTAAGGTGAAAATGTACCCATAGTGGAACTATCACCGCTGTCTGTGGATGTTGTCTCAGCATTTGAAATGAGTTCCGAATTAATGTGGAAAAATCGTACACAGAACTTTTGCTCCATTTCGATAATAGGGCCTAGCTCTCCAAGAACGGTCTCAATTAGCTGAAATTATGCAAACTTCGTAACAAAAATCGGGGATTGATCAAGCACACTGTATACTGTGTAACTGACTCACCGCTGAAACCTGAGCATAATCGGCAGAAAGTTCACTCATCATAGAGAAGCTTTGTTTATCCATAGAACTCTTAGTAGACATATTTGATGAGTCTGAAACGAATGCGAGAAGTGACCACTCCAACCAAAGAAAAAATAGGATTAAAGGAATAATTTTTCATAATTCCGATTTTTTTTCCTTTCAAAAAGGCGCAAACTTTACTGAACATTCGCTCTTTTTCACGAATAATTCTAATCTACTTGAAGGAGTTACAAGATGCCAAAATTTACAGCCCGGAAAAACTCCCTCGAAGAAGCATCGTTCAACTTTCATAACTCAAGCGATAAGACTGTACCACATAGCTCTTATCGGTCGTTTTCCAGCGGTCGTCGTCGCTTACCCGCTCTACCAATGGAAGGGGAACGAGCTGACAGCGCGCCAATCAGCCTCACTGACACGCCCTTTCATCCGCAGCGAAAAGGACTGTACATTCTGTCTCGGAGCAACGGAGGTGTTTTGGAATAACTTGAAATAACAAGAAAAAAGACAGCAAATTAAAGTCGCCTACTTAAGCGTTTATCTGTTGAACCCAGCCGTTGCACTTCACCGATAACAGCGTCGAAAAATGTTTCAAAATGTCGTCTATATAAAATCTTGGTTGCATCAATATACCTTTGGATTGCCGCGTTGTACGGTGTTGGTCTGAAAAACCCGTCCGCCTGATAACAGTTCATAATTTGAACCATGTTTGAAAATAATTGTAAAATGGGCACACATCACGACTTACCGACGTAGATATTTTTACGCTTGCAGAAACTTTTTCGGGGAAAAAAAGGATTCAAAATGAAATTTTGTGTAGAACTCTTCTCACGCCTTTCAACCCCATAGAACGGAAATACGGAAGAACAAAAAACTGTTCAGGCAAAAGGTTTTCGATAGGACTCAAAAGGTATTATGTTGGCTCAAATCTTCATGCTCATCACTAACCGGTAGAACGAATACAGCAGAAAAAAAAGATAAATGGAGTAAAAACAAAACGAACCTGTTCACTTTCAGCCAGCTGATGAGATCGGAAAGGGGTGAAAGCGCATGGAATCGTTGCGACTGTTTCGGAATGGAAAGAGCATGCCAGTCTTGGCCCAAAGAGAAATCGTTCTGCAACACAGAAACGGGTATTTGATGACGAACTATACATTTACCTAAGAGAATCCTGTCCCTGCCGTGGGTGGGGGAAATGGGTCCACAGTTACAGTATCGTGCCGGGGGGCGGACGGTATTGATACCCGAGGGCCGTTTCCGTGCTCCGTCCACTGTCATCAATGTGCTGCACATGCGATACCAGCATCCAATATCGTGCACGCAGTCAGGGTTAGAGAACAACCAGAAGGAGCAGACAAGTAGCAGGTTTACCTATGATTTGGTGAAGGCTGGTAGTGAGGCAGCGCGGGCAGAGTCGGAAGCCACCACTCAGGTATCATTACCTTCCTGCCCCGTTCTCGTATATTTCTGAGAGGACAAATGGGCACGCTACAGTATCTGCGGACCCATTAGTCTCTTACACGGCAAGGACCCCTCCCCCTCACAGGTCACAGGTCAGCGTACAGTTTCCTCTTTGAATAGAATTCGTGAATTTCTCGGGGAGGGGTCATTCAAAGAACTCCTCAGGCAGAAGTGGTATTACCCTCATCAACTAGGATTATCGTACTTCTAATTGCTATATACACCCCGAACCTTCTGCCCCTTGGACATGGACAGATGTTCTCATGTCCATTAAGATGATTCTATTTTTGCACGAAGATACCTCTAAGTGCCCCTAAAATCTACTAGCGCCGAGAAGTCCTATCAAGGAACATAATCAATGGCGGAAACGCTAGGAAATGAAGTAGGGACTCACTAGGTTATTGAATATTGCCGAAAGATGAGACATAAATCGATCCACAAACAGATCTATCACAGCTAGATCACGATTACGTTTCTCATAGGCTTTCATCTGTAGCAAAGGCTTTGAAATAAATCCATTCCAGAACTGCGAGACCGCACGAGCAGCTTCAGCACAACGGGCGATACTGAAATGCCCAACCTTTACAAGACAATACCTCACTGTTCGAACTTGTTGAAATTTTGTAATGTTAGGTGTCGCTGTCGGCAGACGGACAAGAGAATCGTAATTTGCCGCGGTGTCGCGTGCGGCGCAGCGGCGCCGCCCACAAACTACCAACCCAATCGTTCGAGCCTGAATATTGAAGGGATCGCAAAGTTCTGCACCATAAAGCATGGAGTCTTGCTCCTGTTTGAAATCAGGTGCATGACTTTCATATGAATTTCATCCCCAATTAACAAACTGATGCACGTCTAAAATTTACTGCACAATGTCTCAGGATGTGTCACGAGCGACAGCGCGACTTATTGCGATTGGCTTGTCTGTCACCTAGAGTCGAGAAACTCGCCGCGCCACAGCACAGCTACAATGATAGGATTGAATCCTAGTGCGAATCCTTCGTACGCACCTCTTCTCTATGCCTACAGTCGTCATCCGGGCAGTTGATTAGGCGGTCAAAGGGTCGCAGACGCGGCTGCGGCGCGTCACGACCGCGGCGATCAGCTGTTTCCAGCCTATTTAGCCATTTTCTCCCTAATTTTCACTGTATTATTTATTTTTTTCAAGGTAAGTTGTTTTTGTCTTTATGAAGTATATAGGACGTGGATTCTTTTTTTGTTTTTGTAATGAAGTGTTTTTGCGATTTTTCAGGTATTTGTTTAATTGTTTGTTTAATTATTTAATTGTTCGCAAAGAGAAATCTCAATCATAATTCACCTTGTGAAGACAAGGAACAACTAACCTTGAGAAAAGCAGCCAAAAACAGTGAAAATTAGGGAGAAAATGGCTAAATAGGCTGGAAACAGCTGATCGCCGCGGTCGTGACGCGCCGCAGCCGCGTCTGCGACCCTTTGACCGCCTAATCAACTGCCCGGATGATGACTGTATTTCGCTGCACCCCGAAACTCGGAAGTAACGATAGAAATCGTACCTTCCCGCGTCGTTCAAATTTGCCTCCTTTAACGTTCGAATATGCTCATCAGTAACGGTATTCAGGGCGGAAACAAAGTCCGTTAATTCTTGATGAAGTCTGTCCTTATTTTTGCGTTCAACAGCAGACAGACTATCCTTTTCTTCAATGAGCTCCACGCTATTTCTCACATGCTGGAAACATGAACGTAGTTAACTTTCGACCTAAACAACAACATTGCTGAAGTGAAAGCGAAAGATGACAAAAACGGAACAACCAAATCAAGTTCATCTCAACTCTCTGGAAAGGATCTAATCGAAGCTCATTTCCAACTCATTCTCCTCAACCTGATCTTTAATGTCATAGGTCAATTGTTCTAAGGCCAAAGAATCATTGGTGCAGGTACAATTGGCACCGCAATCGATCGGGTCGGTTTTGAGAGCGACAGACTGACCCAACCAGCGGCGTTTTCACCACTGGCTGTTTCTTCCTAAATCATTCTTTACCCGATCATCATTGGTGGAACAAACCAGTCGAAGACGGGCTCATCCCCCTCCCCACACATGGCCCCGATTGAATTGCGATGTCACGAACTACACTTTATAAGGAATAACTGAAAATACCCAAAATGAATGAGATATCTGGCTGGAAATCATCCGTGCCAGAAATAAGAATTTACACATGCTGTAGAAAACTATCATTGATCACCACAATATGGCACATCTCTTTCATATGATGTCACTCCAATGTCAGTGATTTTACTAATTATTATTATTATTATCTTTTTTGGTCCTGCTATCCAATTTTACAAATGCTACCTTATCTTAATGTCAGGCATTGTTCACAGTCTGAGACCCTGACGAAACGGCGGTTCGGCGAAAAGCAAAAAATACTCATTGATCGGAGAATCGCCAACCGCCCCGTTCGACGAACCGCCGCGGTTCAGCGGTTGGGCGAAAAGCAATAGATGCGTATCGATTTCGCAGGCCCGACCATCTCAGCGAAAAACGCCAGGGTGGTCGGGCTAGCGTTTTTCGCCCAACCGCTTCGCCGAACCGCCCGTCGATACGTATCAAAACCGTTTCGCGCAACCGCCAGACTCTTCGCCCAACCGCCAATCGATACGTATCGAAAGCTTTTCGCCGGAGCGTTTCTTTCCAGAGAAACGCTGGGCCGCAGACTGTTAACAATGCCTCACGCGGTTAATTCTCATGCCACCACCTATGATGAGGCCACGTTCACACTTTGCCGATGTGAAGAATTCATGAGTCAGGAGAATGCGCCACTGAAGGGAGTATAGGTCTGGATAATCAGCGACTTCGGAGAATGCGCGATTATGGTTTAGAATCAATAGGAGCCGGTTGACTCAATCTCCGGCATACAGCGCCTTTCACGATTGACGCATTCTCCTCATTCGCAAGGTATGAACGCAGATTAAGGCTGATTTGCGGAAACACTTGAACGCAGCACTGAGAACTCTTTACAATCTAGTTATCTTAACAAACCGCAAGGATTGCATCACATGTGTCGATCTCCTTTTCCAGCAGTGCCACCTTATCAAGAGCACCATCAAGTAGTGCTAATAATTGATTCACTGCCATTTCACTCCCCATCATTGATTGAATATTTGCTCCATCCAGTGACTGCAGCTGAGATGAGAGAACCTAAAAACCATTTCAGATTAAAAGACAGCAATTTTCAAGATTAATGAAAATGCAAAGTAAAAGAACAGTGGAAAACTGCGAAACATAGTTAGTTTATATATGCCGCAAACCTCTGCAAACTTATCGGCCTCTCCAATGGTGAGCTCAGCCTTTGCGAGTAAACGCCGAAAGTCCGCCTCTTCTTTGGCGCTGACTGGCTGAAAGCTTATCTTCGAGAGGAAGAAAATGTATAGAACAATAGTAGAAAGTGGATGATCCGTGAGAGCACCTTCATACTTCGCGATTCTATCGCTTGGATCGCCCCACCGGATAGCGCGACCACGACAGGAGGTGCTCCATAGCCAACCCGCTGTGGCAGTCCACCAACTGGCGACGAAGCACCCCCAGTCGTTGTCGCGCAGTCTGAGCGATTGGATCGCGAAGTATGGACACACTCTAAGGGGAATTAAACTTTAGCACATAATTTCTATGCTAGGAATATCGAATAAATCATAATGACAGCAGACCTGATAATCGTGTATAAAATCAGTGGTGTCCTCGTCTGTCGTTTCTATTGGAAGTATGGACATCTCACGGTTATCAATCGGTATAGATACATTACAAAAGTCAGGCATTTGCACCGGGAGATATTGTGCTGATAGCTTAAGAAAATACATTACCGATTTGCAACTGAAGAAGTCGCAAAATCTTTTCACACTAACGTATCACTAAACAATCCTGTCAGCTCGTCACTGTTTGTGTTATTGATTCTCACTTCAATAAAATCACTGTTTCCGATTTATAAGTCGACCTTTCGCTATGCGCGCTGCAAATATTTAGGAAGTCGTTGCAAATTGTGGACTAAAGCCCACATCGCATCATCAAGATGTTTGAAATGGCGCAGTCACTACGACAGTCCCCAGAATAGGGATCCTGGCACGGCACCGTACACAACCTACCGCAAGGACTCCACATATTTCCTTACTACCAGAAGTTCACAAAACTGAGCAATTTGCGGGTACGTGACGGTAGTCGCGCGCGACAACTTCAAATACCGCATGGATACGATTGGCGCGCGCTCACTGTGGTTCTTTTATTGCGACAGTGGAAATGCGCTGCTATTTTCCAACCGGACATTACGTCGTACCTCAACGATACGACACTAAGTACAGTACCTGAGAGCATGCTGCCCAGGAAGCATTGCGACACTCAAATGATTAGGGATTACGGTAGCTTTATTAACACGCCAGCAGAACCGTGCAGCTTTCTCTGAACCCAGTTATGAACAAAATCCAACGGTCATGACAATCTGAGCACTATTAAAGTGACTCGTGGTCCCAAAGACCGTCTCCCGCAAAACTGCAAGCCAACAAACTGTTCGAATAGTCGGTTTCGAGAAGGGTCTGATCGATCTTAAAAAGGCCCCAAGTAGGTGCAATGTAGACCTGGGGAAATAATGCATTAAACGATGACGTTTGTTCCGACAAAACGCTCTTCAAAAAACTGTCGTATTCCTAATACAACAGTACTTCGGCCGAAGTACCGAGGACAAGACTATTTACCGAAGACATGGGCATTTCAAAG